AAAAATGTACCTGGAAAAATGTACCTGGAAAAATGTACCTGGAAAAGTGTACCTAGAAAAATGTATCTGAAAAAATGGACCCAGAAAAATGTACCTGGAAAAATGTACCTGAAAGATGTACCTGAGAAATGTAGCCAAAAAATGTACCTGAAAGACATACCTGAAAAATGTACCCGGAAAAATGTACCTAAAAGATGTAGCCAAAAAAAAAAATACCTGAAAAATGTACCCAAGAAATGTACCTGAGAAATGTAGCCAAAAAATGTACCTGAGAAATGTACCAGACAAATGTGCCTGAAAAAATGTATCTTAAAAAATGTATCCAAAAAATGTACCTGAAAAAGTGTACCCAAAAAATGCACCTGAAAAATGTACCTGAGAAACATAGCCAGAAAAATGTACTCAGAAAATGCACCCAAATAAGGTACCCGAAAAATGTAGCCAAAAAATGTACCCGAAAAAATGTACTTGAAAAATGTACCCAAGAAATGTACCTGAGAAATGTACTTGAAAAATGTACCTGAAAAAATGTACCCAAAAAAGTGTACCCCAAAAATGAGCATGGCTGCCAAGGAGCAGAGGAAGACCGAGCTGGAGGAAATCATGCAGAAAGCATTTTCTGTTCTCAGGGGTTGAAGAATTAAAATTTAAAACTAGGCATTCTTCTCCCAGATACCACACAAACAGCCATGTTAGTAATTTGCTGCAAATGCAAACATGATTAATCTTTTTTTTAAAATTATTATTATTATTTTTTCACATTGTACAGGCTCTCCATCATTAACAGAACTGATAACAAGGTGCATGGAAAATTTGGGTTGTTTAATACTTCTTAATTAGGTACCTGAATGTAGGGCTTTTTTTATTATCCTTGCAGAGGAAGACTGTTAACAAAGATAGTTCAGTAGTTTCTAAGAAAGCAGTAGAGAAAAACCACAGTATTTGTCTCTGGGATAAAAGAATCTCAAAGCTGGTTCACTAAGCAGTGCTATTATTTTGCACAGGCTTTAAAGTTTGGTGTCTGGGAGAGGAGTGGTTGCCCTGATATGATTTTTAGCATATAATTCCATGAAATAAGACCTGTTAAAAGCAATGTGCAAAGCCTACCCAAAGCCCCAAACCAGTAATTTTCTTCCTAGAAATACACAAATCAAATACAGAGTTTGTTCTGCTATTGTCTACAGCAATATGTGATCTCCAGCAAATGCTGATGTGCCTCAGTTCTCTGCCTCTAAAGAAGAGCTCTCATCTTTACAAGGAAGCCACAATAACCTCATTTGTTTGGGTATTACGAGCACTAAAACCACTCTGCTGAAGGCCCAAGCGTGGTCCTCAACCTGCCTTTTAATTCCTGGCTTAACTTTTGTTTAAATTCAAACCAATTTAAGAAGGAACTGACTTTTGGGGTTCTTGTCAGGCAGAGCTGCCATTACCTTCAGCTCTGAACTCCCCAAAACTCACACCTGTGCCCAGAGCAGCCCAGCTCCAGCGTGCCGTGGATGTCAGCAGGATTATCAACACCTTGCTTTTTAAAAAATGCTCCTCAGTAAAAGCTGCTTTCAGAACTCCCCCTTGTCTTCCCACTGCTCATTTCCATCCCCACGCTTTGTGAGGGTGCTTTGGGTGAGATCAGCAGGGAGCTGCAGCATCTCCTCCAGCCCAGCCGTGCCCCTTTCATCACCTCCTTGTGCAGGCAGTTTCCTCCCAGCCCACTCGCCTGCCTTGCTGCTGACATCCAGGAGCACCTGGTAAGTCAGGCCAGCTCTCTGATCGGGCTGAAAACCAACCAAGGGAGGTTTTTTTTGGGCTTTTTTTTGGATTTTTTTTTTTTTTTTTTTCGTTTGAGATGATTCAGTTGCTGTTCAACCACGTGCGTGCAGACACAGCCGTGCGGATGGGAGCACAAGAAGGGGATGGCAGCCTCCCCCAGAGCTTTGGGTTGGCTCAACCCAGCTGCACTATTGCACCACCTGTGCAGAAAAAAAAACAAAACCAAAAACCAACACAGCTAAATATTTGCAGAGTGGACAAATAGATGGATTTTTGTTTAATAGTTTCGCGAATTAGTGGTGGTTTATATCGACTTTAAAGCTGTTACCTGGTTGCCAGCTGCTGTCTGTTCACAGAATGGAAAAGCAAAATGTTTTAGCTCTAACATACAGGACAAAGGTGCCCTGTGACCTGCTGAATCACCGGGTTGGTTGAGTTCACACATGCCAAGCAACCCTTTAGAAGCATTTTGTTCTAAAAAGACCAAGCTGAAGCACTGCATTTGACCCTGTTCTCAGAAAGGACTGGGAAATACTGCAAGACAACAAAGCACAGTTTCTCTGTGGTGCCCCTGCTGACATACACACACAGGAGAGAAGGAATTACATCAGACTGGTTATCTTGTCACAAAAAAAAAAAGATAAATTAGGTTCGTTGCACGAGGTTTGTTCTCAATAAACCTGGTACTGACTGTTGTTTGTCAGCCTGGTCAACTGTTAGGATATTTTGAATTTTTAATTAGTTAATGAATCTGTTAATTTATTCATTCATTTTTATTCAGTGACCTGGCTGCTCTGGAATTCCCTTGATGGCTTCTTTCTCTGCCTCTTGGAGACAAGCTCTTCTGGTGTCCTTTTCCAGCCTTCCTACACTGCATCCAGAGAAAGCCCAGAGCCAGGGAAGCCAGTTCTCTAATTCTTAAATGTGAATTTTATTTAGGCCTGGCCCTTTTGAAAGCATTTAAATCATTGAAATTCTCTCGGATGAGCTCTTTCCATGTTCTGTCATGAGCTCTGACTCCTTTCTTGCTTGGTGTTTGTTGAATTAATTCTCAAATCACAGTGGAGGCAGAAGGTGCAGAATCCACTTTTTGGTTAAACTTAACTGCCATGTAAGTGCAAGCTGGGTTTTGTCTTGCTTAACTTTCACCATTTTCCCAGTGAAATGGGGGTTTGAATGACAATGTATCATTAGAGGAATAAAAATTATCTGCTGTACACTCTTCCAGGAATGTCCAGGGCCCTGGTCCTCCAAATCCCTTCCGTTTTCAGAGCTCCTTGAGAGCATGGCACACTCTCCAGGCTGATCCACTGAGAGCTGAATCCCAAATAAAAGCAAGGAACAGGTCAGGATGATATCCAGGAGAAGGAGACCAGATAGAGGTGTATTGTCAGGTCATAGAGGTGACCCATGGGCTTGTCTCTGCACATAGCTGTTTGTTATTCCTGGTTTATTTATACAAAGATGTTCTCATTCAGAGTAAGCCATTGTTTAGTTTAATCCAGAGTAAATAAAGCAGGAAGAAATCCATGTTGAATAAAGCCTTGAGAACAGGCTTCATGTCCTGTGTCTTTTGAAAGTAATTAAATGTCTCTGTAGACTCTTTTTTAAATGCAGCTTTGCAAAGAACTGCTATTATCCTGGCTTTAAAACACATTGTCCTCTATCTATTGCCCAACCTGCCAGATTAAATGACACACACTGGCTGCCTAGAACAATCCCCTCCAGTCTGATACTCAGTGTAACAAACAAAGACCAGCTTTATTAACCTTCAGACCTGTGATAGGTGTGAAGGATGTGATGCAGCCTCTTCACCAATCCTGTTACACACCAAAGGGTGCAGGCTCCTTCCTCCCAGCTGCAGCATCTCAGGGTGAGACCCTGCACCCATTGGTCTGGGTCACAGCTGGACACGAGCCCAGGTGTGCCCAGGTGTGCCCAGGTGGCCAAAAAGGCCAGTGGCACCTGGCCTGTGTCAGCAGTAGTGTGGCCAGCAGGACCAGGGCAGAGATTGTCCCTCTGTGCTGGGCACTGCTGAGGCCACACCTCGAATCCTGTGTCCAGTTTTGGGCCCCTAAATTCAGGCAAGATATTGAGGTGTGTCCAGGGAAGAGCAAAGGAGATGGTGAAGGATCTGGAGAGTCAGACCAAGGAAGGGTAGCTGAGGGTGTTTAGTGTGGAGAAAAGGAAGATCAGGGGGGACTTTTTCACTCTCTACAACTCCCTGACAGGAGGGGGCAGCCAGGGAATGCCAGGCTCTTTTCTCGCTCTCTACAACTCCCTGACAGGAGGGGGCAGCCAGGGAATGCCAGGCTCTGCTCCTAGGGAACAAGACACAGGATGAGAGGCCACAGCCTCAAGCTGCACCAGGGGAGGTTTAGGTTGGAATCAGGAAGAATTTATTCACTGAAAGGGTGGTCAGGCATAGGGAAGACTACCCAGGGTGCCCCCATCCCTGGAGGTGTTCAAGAAACTGGGTATGGCACTTAGTGCTATGGTCTAGTTGACAAGGTGGAGATTGGCCAGAGGTTGGACTTGATGATCTCGGAGGTTTTTTCCAAACAAAACAATTCTGGGGGGTCCTGTGGTCCCTGCAATTAGATCCACAGAGGGATCCAGGCACTGAAATCTAGCGCTGGGATCATCAAAGCTTCTAATCCCACGGGCAACTAAAACCCAGAGACATCCGAGTTTTCAGCAATAGCTTCTTGTAGTCTAGAAATGTTGCTTCAGAGCGTGCCAGGACGGACAGCAGCAGCCCGGGGCAGGCTGGCCGGAGTCCCAGGCTGGGATGCAGGGGTCAAGGCACGGAGGGGATGCACGGGTCAAGACACGGAGGGACGGGGACCCGCTGCGCTTCCCTGGGCAGGGGAAGAAGAAAAGACAGGAATGAGGCGGCTGGCGTTTCCCTCTCCTTTATTTAACAGCTTGTCTTCCCTCTCCTTTATTTAACAGCTGGTTTGTCACAGCTGGTTTGTCACAGCTGGTTTGTCGCAGCTCGGCAGCGTGCGCGGCGCTCCCCCATCGCCGTGCCCGGGGCACCTCCAGCCCGAGAACTGCCTCGCCTGCGTGTCCCGGGACAGCAAAAGGAGCCGTGCAAAACCCAGCCCCTCGCCCGCCCCAGGAAGTGACGGCAGCCCGGTCCCCCCGGCACACCTGAGTCACCTGGGCGGGCGCTCGGCAGCGCGGCGCTCCGCGGAGCCGGGCGGGGTGCGGGCACGGCTGCGGCCATGGCGAGGGACGGCGGCTCGCCCTGGGCCATGGGGCTGCTGAGGACCTTCGAGGAGAGCGAGTTCAGCAGCTGGGAGAAGATCGGCTCGGGGGGCTTCGGGCAGGTGTATAAGGTGCGGCACCTCCACTGGAAGACGTGGCTCGCCATCAAGTGTTCGCCCAGCCTCCATGTGGATGAGAAGTAAGGGGAATAAGAAGGGAATGGGGGACACCGGGGGGGACAAGGGAGGATTGCTGGAGAGGCACTCCGAGCGCTCAGTCGCCCCGCGGATGCGCGGCCGGTGTGCAGCCTCACACCCCATCTCGGATCCAACAGCAGCAGCATGGAATAGCCCAAATGTCCTGCGGGTTCCTTGGGAACTATGAAATACCCCAAATGTCCTGCGGCTTCCCTGGGAACTATGAAATACCCCAAATGTCCTGCGGGTTCTCTGGGAACCGTGGAATACCCCAAAAGTCCTGGTTGCTCCTGGGAGCCATGGAATAGCCCAAATGTCCTGCTGGTTCGTTGGGAACTATGAAATACCCCAAATGTCCTGCTGTCCTGCGGGTTCCTTGGGAACTATGAAATACCCCAAATGTCCTGCGGCTTCCCTGGGAACTATGAAATACCCCAAATGTCCTGCGGGTTCTCTGGGAACCGTGGAATACCCCAAAAGTCCTGGTTGCTCCTGGGAGCCATGGAATAGCCCAAATGTCCTGCTGGTTCCCTGGGAACCATGGAATACCCCTGTGTCCCGGCTGTCCCTGGGAACCATGGAATACCCCTGTGTCCCGGCTGTCCCTGGGAACCATGGAATACCCCTGTGTCCCGGCTGTCCCTGGGAACCATGGAATACCCCTGTGTCCCGGCTGTCCCTGGGAACCATGGAATACCCCTGTGTCCCGGCTGTCCCTGGGAACCATGGAATACCCCAAATGTCCTGCGGCTTCCCTGGGAACTATGAAATAGTCCAAATATCCTGATGGTTCTCTGGGAACCACGAAATACCCCAGATGTTCTGCTGGTTCTCTGGGAACCATGGAATAGCCCTGTGTCCCGGCTGTCCCTGGGAACCATGGAATACCCCTGTGTCCCGGCTGTCCCTGGGAACCATGGAATAGCCCTGTGTCCCGGCTGTCCCTCGGAGCCATGCGGAAAGCATTCCTGCCCTGCCCAGCCTGGCGTGTGCCGGCTTGCTCGGGCTCGCTGCGGCCCCAGCAGGCACCGACCGCGCCGGGATGGGATGGGAAGGCAGGAGGAGTGGGAATGTGTCTGGGATGGGATGCAGGGGCTTGGGAAGAGCCAGGCCTGGCTCACGGGTGCAGGATTTGTGGCTGATGTGGTTGGGGTGCGGGCGCTGGACGCCCTTTGGTGTCTTTGGGGAGCGGGTGCTGAAAGGAGCCGTGCTGGGAATTGTGTCCGTGTGTCTGTCTGCTCGGGATGAGCCCTTGCAGGTGTGTTGTACTGCAGGTGAAGGTGCCCCACGGCGGGACTCCCCTGCCTCTGTCCCTCGTTGTGGTCCTCGGTGAGCGCGATGGGCTGTGCTGCTCTCACGGAATCACAGATGGGTTTGGGTTGGGAAAGTCCTTAAAGCTCATCCCCTTGCCGTGACCAGGGACACCTTCCATTATCCCAGCTGGCTCCAAACCCCATCCAGCCTGGCCTTGAACACCTCCAGGGATGGGAGCTGTGGAGTGCAGGTCTTTCCCAGGAGAGGAAGGCTGTCAGGTGCATCTCTGGAAACATCCCTGTGCTGTAGGGACAGCGGTGGTGAGCGCTTCCAGCAGCTCAGCCTCTGTGCACAGGGAAGTGAATATGCCAAACCGTGTTCCTGGAGCTTTCCCAGCTCCACTTGCTCTTTGGGATCTCTACCATCTCACAAGCTGATCGTGCAGTTCAGTTTTTGAGACGTGGGTTGGCTCGGTCACAAAAGGTTTCCTGTTGTTGCCTTTCCTGCAGAAAGAGGGAGATAAGCTAGCCCAAGACTGAAAACGTTTGTAAACCCATCTTCTGCAGGATTTCTGGGGTACTTGAGCATCTTTTCCAGTACCTGAGTTGCTGACTTTGCAGTAGGCATGGCTTATAGGGCGCAGTAAATGAAATTAAATGTCCTTTGGAGACGGAGAGTTTACTACATGCATAGAGTAACTGTGCTGTCTGTGAATAAAATGGAAAAGACCTTGAAGTTGGAGAGTGCTGATCTGCAAGCCCCCTACTGTTAAAACCTCAAAGGAGATTTCAGGTTTGGTGCTTATTGATCAAAATAGTGCCGTGGGTGATTAATTTTGAAGCTAAAATTAAAACGTGTCTGAAAAATAAGCTGGAACTTTTCATTTGCAGTGTACATCTAGAAATTTACTCCGAAAGTTAATTTCCACTCTGAGACAAAGGATGCTACACCTATTTAAAAATGTTTAGTAGTTAATTTTAGTATTTATTTATTAGTTTAATATTTAATAATTAGCGTTGAGATTTGCTATCAGATCTCTATATTAATGTGTACCACGTGCAGTAGAGACCCACCTGTCCCTCCGTGGCTATGAGGTGTGCAAATACTGGAAGACCATACAAACATGCAGCTCAGTAAGCAAAAAATGCCCTGAGAATTGGGAACTTCGAGGCCACAGGGCTCCTGCAGCTTCTGATTAATTTTAATAAACTACTTCTTGAATAACTTAATTTATTTTACTACAAAATCTGTGCTTTAGATGCTTGAGGAGAGCATTGATAAGAAATTGGAGTGTCCCTGGCTTTTGAAAGAGCTGCCCCTGCTAAATAAATGTAAACTGATTTTTAATTTTTTTTTTTTAATTGCTCATTTGATTCCTGGGCTGTTCTATCAAACCCCTTTCAGGAGATGGTTATGCTGAGACTTTTTACCCAAAACTTTTCTAATAAACCTGTGCTATTCAAATGGTGGGGTGGGGGGCACTGACAGAATCAAACACAGCCTCTTTAGCTGGCAGGTTGCAACAAGCCTGTGTAATTAGATTGTTAATCCAGGAGATTAGCTTGACTAGCTGTTTCTTGGAACCCTGTGAAGAGTTAGAAAAATTGCCAGTGGTATCAGAAACATTAACTGAAAAGCACAGAAGCTTTTTCTGATGTATTTATTTGGTACCACATTAAAAACCCTGTTTGTAATGGCTTGGTGGTGGTAATACCCTGTGTAGTCTCTCTTACTGTGTTTCTGCAGACAGTGAGAGATCTGGAGTAATTCCCTCGGCAATTATCACATCATAGAGCCAAGTGGCCTCAAGCAGAAGAAAAACTGAATGCGGAGCCAGAAGTGTTCTTTACCTTTAAGCCCAAGCCCTCTCAGACAATGCAGCCAAATTCCATTCCTAACACCTTATTTGCTCCCACTTTCCTGAGATCTCCTTCCTCTCCTGGGACTCAGGATGCTCTCAGTATGGGGAGGTTCAAGGTAAATCGGAACAAAAGATTTTTGAGACCCAGAAGGGTGGAGGAGCCTCTCCCCCAGGACAGTGAAGTCTCTTCTCTTTACCTGTGTGGGCCAGAATGGAAATGTGGACTGCAGAAAAACAGTGCCAAGCTGGGAGAGAGAGAGAATCCTTTGCTGATGTCTTGTGCTGAACATAAACGTGCTGACTGTAAGGTGTAACATTTCCTGGAGAGGGATCTTTACTGGAGTTGCTGGCCATGGGGGTGACTACAGGCTGTGGAGGTGGAAAAAAATTCTTGATTAAGGAAAAAAAAAAAAAAAACCCAAGCAAAGCCCTACATATATCTCCCTCTGCAGATCCTGGATTTGGGAATGGAGCAGGACTTTGAAATTGAGGAGGTTTTAAAAATGCCTCGCTGTTAGTGGATGCTGCATTTTTGTTTAGGTGGTGAAGGTGAATGAATGTCTCTTCTGTGTAAGGAGAACCTAAGAGTCACTTTGTGCTCCTTAAAGAGCCTGGCTGTCCTGTACTCCTCTGGTACCAGAACTGCACAGATCTGCTAGCAAGGCTGACATCTGTCAACCTGAAAAAAAGGGATTTTCTTCATTTTTCCCATCCTGCCCCCCCAAACACACTCTGCCCTGACCACGCAGTGGGTTTTGTCTTCTCACATTCACGTTCTTCTCTGCGAGTCAGCAGTGTGGAAGTTGTTAAATATGTACCCTGCAGAGCAGAGGCCACTGCATGCTCCTCAAACCTCTGCCACCATGCAGGTGAGAGGAGTTCCTGAGGATGTTCAGGGGTGGTGTGATTTAGTGGAGCCCCACCTGCACCCCCAGCACCTCGTGAAGAGGCAACTGAAATTCCTGACTGCAGAGCAGGGCTGGATCTCCCTGGGCTGGGAGAAGCCTGGCTGCTCTGTGGCTGGAGCTGGCTCACACAAAGGGCCCCAACTGCAACTTTTGAGTTCCTCTGGAGCAATTTTTGAGTTCCTCTGGAGCAATTTTTGACTGCTGTGTCTCAGACTCCATTAGGGAAATGTGGTGGTGGGGGAATATAAAACTGCAAGGACTGCCTGGTGTGTCTAAGGTTGTAGTTTTACGGCAGTGTTATCTCTAGGGCACAAAGATTGGACCCATGCAAATGCAGGTGCAGCTGTAATTCCTGCTGTTCTTGTGGCAGGGTTTGTGGGACAAGGGCTGGGCCCTGGGGACTGGGGCAGTGGAGTTCCTCTGGAGCAACTTTTAACTGCTGTGTCTCAGACTCCATTAGGGAAATGTGGTGGTGGGGGAATATAAAACTGCAAGGACTGCCTGGTGTGTCTAAGGTTGTAGTTTTACGGCAGTGTTATCTCTAGGGCACAAAGATTGGACCCATGCAAATGCAGGTGCAGCTGTAATTCCTGCTGTTCTTGTGGCAGGGTTTGTGGGACAAGGGCTGGGCCCTGGGGACTGGGGCAGTGGGCAAGAGCAAGGCCCTTGTGTCTCCAGGAGAATCCAAGGAATGCAGCCCTGTCTGTCTGATGTGGAGTGGAAGCAGACAGCTCTTTGGAGGTCTCCAATTCATGGTGTATTTCTAGTTGCTTTGAAATGAGTGATCTGTACTGACTTTTGTGACAGAGATGCTCTTTTGGCACTGGACCCAGTGCTGGAGCTCTTGATGTGTGAGCCCCTGTCTTTTGGTACTATTTACAGGAGAAAGTGTGTGCAGCCCATCATTTGCATGACCTCAGCTGTCCTGTAAGCTTAGTTTTTCTATTTTTTCTGTCTTTTTTTCTTTTTCTTTTTCTTTTTCTTTTTCTTTTTCTTTTTCTTTTCCTTTTCCTTTTTTTCTTTCATTTTTCTTTTTCTTTCTTTTTCATTTTCTTTTTTCTCTTTTTTCTTTTTCTTTTGCTTTTCTTTTTTCTTTTTTCTTTTTCTTTTTATTTTTATTTTTTCTTTTTCTTTTTTCTTTCATTTTTTCTTTTTCTTTTTTCTTTGGCTTTTCTTTTTTCTTTTGCTTTTCTTTTTTCTTTTTTCTTTCATTTTTTCTTTTTTTCCTTTTCTTTCTTTTTCTTCTTTTGCTTTTCTTTTTCTTCTTTTGCTTTTTTCTTTTTCTTTTTTCTTTCATTTTTTCTTTCTTTTTCTTTTTCTTTTTCTTTTTTCCTTTTCTTTTATAATTTTCTTTTTTCTTTTCCTTTCCCCCCTTTTTTCCTTTCCCCCCTTTTTTCCTTTCCCCCTTTTTGCTTTCCCCCTTTTTGCCTTTTCCCCCTTTTTGCCTTTTCCCCCTTTTTGCCTTTTCCCCCTTTTTGCCTTTTCTCCCTTTGTCCTTTTTTCTTTATAAGGGCATCCCAGGGGGAACACAAAACTGCCACAACATGCCTTCCTTCACACCTTTTTTCCTTTCCCCCTTTTTCCTTTCCCCCTTTTTGCCTTTTCCTCCTTTTTTCCTTTTCTCCCTTTGTCCTTTTTTCTTTATCAATTTTTCTTTCCTCCCCTCTTCTTTTTTCCCCTATTCTTTCTGTTCCCTCTTCTGTTCCCCCCTTTTCCCCCCTCTTTCCTCCCCTTCTCCCCCCTCTTCTCCCTTTTTTTCTTTTGCTTTTCTTTTTCTTCTTTTGCTTTTTTCTTTTTCTTTTTTCTTTCATTTTTTCTTTCTTTTTCTTTTTCTTTTTTCCTTTTCTTTTATAATTTTCTTTTTTCTTTTCCTTTCCCCCCTTTTTTCCTTTCCCCCTTTTTGCTTTCCCCCTTTTTGCCTTTTCCCCCTTTTTGCCTTTTCCCCCTTTTTGCCTTTTCCCCCTTTTTGCCTTTTCTCCCTTTGTCCTTTTTTCTTTATCAATTTTTCTTTCCTCCCCTCTTCTTTTTTCCCTTATTCTTTCTGTTCCCTCTTCTGTCCCCCCTCCTTTTTTCCCCCCTTTCCCCCCTCTTTCCTCCCCTTCTCCCCCCTCTTCTCCCTTTTTTTTCTTTTTCCTTTATCACAATAAATTTAGGACACCCTCCTGTAGCGAGAGGGGAGCGGAGAAGACAATTCCCACCAGAGAAGACAATTCCCACTCTTCAACCGCGTGGGTACAAAACAACAAACCATTCCGGCACAGCCTTACACCTACATCTCCCGAGTGAGAAGCCCCACCAGGAGCTTTGCTTTTCCTGCCCTTTGCTCAGCCCAGGCTGAGCCCCGAGCACGGAATAACCGAGCGCTCCAGCGCCGCGCCCTTTGATCCGCGGGATGCGCTCCCGGCTCCATCCCGGGGGCAGAGCCTTTTTGTTGGGGTGATGGGCGCCCCCGGAACGCCTCGCCCCGTGCCCAGCGCCGCTGGCATCCTGCGAGGGGAAAGGGAAGGGGAGGGATGGGAGAGAGCTTTGATCTCTGCCTGCTGGAGGAGATCTTGCTTTGAGAGCTGTTGGTGTCGGTAGCTCGCTGCTGGTGGCTGCTTTGGCTCACTCACTCCTTTTGTCTTATTTTCTGCTTTCAGAAGGTGGCAGGGGTCCTTTGGGAAGCTGTTGGAAAGCCCACGAGCTGTGCCAGGCGGCTGGCTGAGTGGGTTTTGAATGCTCTGGGCATGGGAAAGTGGTAAGGGTGGTAATTGTTGCATGGGGGCTTTATTTAAACAGGCAAATTAGATAGAGGGCACTCGCCTGTTATTCTCTTAATTCACTCTATGAGCTGGATCTGGTCCAAGCAGAAATGGAGCTTTTTTTTTTTTAGACATTACTTTAATGAAACAGAGTTCTGGTTTGTTAGAAAACGCCCCATTTCCAGCAGCCAATCCGTGCTTTTGGCGATGCTCTCTGAGGCTGTTGCCAGCCTGAGCACCCCATCCCGAGGAGTCTTAGTGGTTCTTGTCAGACCTTGGCTGCTGCCGGGCTCTAGCATTGCCTGGGAGGGCTCAGACAGCTATTTTACATCCCTGACTCCAGCTCAGCCCAGGCCCGGTGAATTATGCTGGGTGAATTATGCTGGCTATGCGTGTGGCTTGGGGGCAAGGAGTTGGTTGTGTTATTCATGGGCGCTCCCTTCCAGCGTGCCAAAGAGCAAACTGGGTACTTGTCTGCAAAGGCAATTATTTCACAAGAAAGTTGCTGTAGGGAGCAGCAGGAGCCAACATGGTTAATGGAAAAGATTTCCCTTATCTTTTTTTTTTTTTTTTGTTTCTCTCTCTGCATGTGCGTCCCTCTTTAAACCATTTTTCAGCCTGATCTTGCCTCTGAAATGGGTTTGCTGCTCCTGGTGGGAAATGTTACCTGCAGCAGGTCTGCAGCAGGCAGCAGACCGCATTCCCAGCCTTGGGGAGTGTCCTGCTGCTGAGTTTGAGGGCCAAATGACAACTCCCAAAATCTGAGAGTCCCTCACAGGCTGTGCTTCAGCTTCTCCCAGGTCATCCAGACACTGGGGGACGCATGAGAAGACTTGGCTGTGTGCAGGCTGGACTTGGTGCTTTCTCTTTAGCGCACAATGGCCTTGGATTTGAAATTTTAAAACCAAAATAGTTTGGCTGAGCTGAGGCTCTGCCATGAGGCTCCCACAGTGGTAACTGGCATCACTTGTTGGTGGCACAGAGCACAAACTTTGTCCTTTTACTTCAGCTGCTGTTGTCCATTAGATAGTGTGCACATCTTTGGGTGCATTGCAGGAGCTGCTGTGTAATAAGAGAGGGTCTGCTCAGGAAATATTACCTGTCTGACCTCCCTGTGCCCTCTTCTGTGAATCTGTGGCAGCAACAGTGATGTGTCCGTGCCCAAAGCTGCACTGGGCAGGGTTCATAATCACTAACAATGCAAAATTGAAGGGTTTTTAAACCATCAAGTGTGGCCCCTCTTTGTGGGCACAGCCAGCCTGGGGACGGGACCCTTGTTTCCTCTTTTTGAGACCCTGTGGGCTGTTGCAGGAGGCTGTGAGTGAGGCGCAGAAGAAATGCACAGCAATTAAGGGTCCTGAGCTGGGAGGCTGCAGCTCGGGCTGAGTAACACTGACCCCTGTGCAGGGTGAGGCTGAAGTGACCTGTAAACAACCCGGGGTGCTCGTTCCAGCTGTCAGGACTGTTACATCACTGGGAATGGTGAGCTGGGAGTTGTCAGCGCCTGCTGGGGCTGAGCGGGTGCACTTTTGGACTTCTCACATCTGTGTTTTGGGGAGGGTTTTGTTGTGTCTCCCTGGTTGCAGCAGGCAGTTTGCTCCCCTCACTGGTGGGTCCAAGGATTCCTCTCCCAAGGTTTGGCTCTGTGAACACTCAGGATGCTGAAGAGGTGCTGTCTGGCTTCTCTGATTAACACAGCCTTGTGACTCACCAAAAGTTAATTACTTCAGCCCAAGGAGTTCCAGCAGTGGTAAAGCTGGGCTCTTAAGTGTATCATCCTCTTTCTGAACAGCACAGCATAACCATCAAAGCAGGGAGATGGGCTTTGCACTGGGGATATTCACCCTGCAGAAGTGTAGGGCTCACCTGTGCTCCTGCAGCTGGGAGCTGCCTACTCTCATAGTTGAGACAGAGACAATACAAAGCAACATACTCCGTTTTCAGAAGGCTTCAAACTATTTTTATTATAGCATGAATGCTTTTTATTTTTCTTACAAAACTCCTAAGTTTACACTTTTCCCATTGGTCACAAGAGACAAACAAAGTACTCATTGGACTAGGCAGTTGCAGGTTTCTGTTATTTATCCTTCTTTCTATCTTGGTTTTTGTGTCAATGACCTTGGTAGGAAATTATTTCAGGGGTAAACGTGGATCCTCTTATCAGACTTCTTGATGGCTCACAGAAGTTGTTGTAAAACCTCTTCTACAGCCTGCCATGGAAAGCATGAAACCCCAAATCAGTAAATATGGAAATACAGCTGGGGTGCAGGCTGCTGAGATGCAGTCTGGGTCAATCAGGGGATGATGTGAAATGTGGCATTGTGTTTTATAAGAAATGTTTTTGTGCTGCTTGGCCTGAGGAGAAGCAACTGCTCCATCCTTCACCTCCCATTCTCTTCCGCCCAGGGAGCGCATGGAGTTACTGGAAGAAGCCAGGAAGATGGAAATGGCAAAGTTTCGCTACATCCTTCCTGTTTATGGCATCTGCAGAGAGCCAGTGGGCTTGGTCATGGAATACATGGAAACGGGGTCCCTGGAGAAGCTCCTGGCCTCCGAGCCCCTGCCCTGGGAATTGCGCTTCCGCATCATCCACGAGACAGCGGTGGGCATGAACTTCCTGCACTGCATGGCCCCTCCCCTGCTCCACCTGGACCTCAAGCCTGCCAACATCCTGCTGGATGCCCACTACCACGTCAAGGTATGCACTGGATGCTCTGTGCTCAGGGTGTCCAACCTTTGGATTGACCCCCAGGGCTCCTGCCAGATGGAAAACGCCTGAGAGAAAGCAGCAGCATTCCTTTAGAATTAGAGAAATGCCCACTGACCCAGCCCCTCTGATTCCCATGTTAAAATCCACCCAAATACTGTCCTTAAATGAATGCACCTGGTTTATGCACCATTCTAGTACATAAATAGAGGTGTGGTTAGGCAAGTTGTGAGAACCCCCCTGAAATTTTAGAGGGATGCAGTGAACTCTGGTTCTGAGACCTAATGGGTCCTGCCACAAATTTCTTTGAGAACAGGGGGAGAAAAGTGGTGTGGGCCTCTAAATCATCTTTGCCACTCCACAGTTGCCATGATTGCCTTGTTCTGGGTCTCTGTCTGCACCACTAAAGGCACAGATCTCACTTACAGCTGGAGCCTGGGGAAGCCTTCCCAGAGGCAGCTCATTTCCATGTGCTCAGGGCATGTACAGTGAGGAAGGATCTCTGTCCTGGCTGTTCGTGCATACCAGAGGTCACCGAAAGGAATTTCTTTTGTGGCTGTAACAGCATGAAATTATTTTCGTTATCCATTTCCAGAGTAAACAGGCAAACTTGTTAGCCTTCTCTGCTGGAGGTTCTGTGGTCAGCTGGACCAAGGAGGTTGTGCTTGCTTTCTCAAATTTCTTTTAGAGAGCACAGAGACTGAAATACGTTTTTTTTCCCTGTTTTATTTTAGTGTTCAGTTGTTTTTTACCAGTGCCATAATCCATCTGCTCCCTGGTCTCCTGGCCCCCTCACTGATCAAGTGCCCTTGGTCTTGTCTGTATCATTCTAAAAATGAAATTTTCACTAAATAAAGACAGATTTCCTGATGTCATTATAGGGTTGGAGCCATAAGAGGTGTGTGCCACTGATGAAATCACACTTGTGACGGTCTCAGCTTTTTTACTAGTCCTCTTAGTCATTTATTTCTTAGAAGGATTTTCTTTCTGAGGTAGGAGGCATCTACAGGTGGTCATGCTATTATTACCAGAACATCAGGATTTCAACTGCTGAAAGCCTGTTCTCACACAATAGTGCTGAGAGGCCTTTGCTAAGTATTTATTTACTTAAAAGTTCATGCTTGCTTGCATAACTTCTTAAATTCCTGATTCTTGACTCATCCATGAGCCCAGATAGCAAGGCTGTGTTTTTCTCACTGTTTCAGGAGGTTGAAGTGCCTGGTGTTCTGCCTGCTGCACAGCCTGTATCTGCGTGGTGATGTAACACGAGGGGGCAAAGTGCAAAATGTGCAAAAATAGAAAAGTCTCTGGTGAGGTCATTGCTGACATCCCTGATGTGCTTCTGTGTGAAACACATCAAGGTCTTCAGATCCTTTCCGTGGAGTCCAGAAAGGAATGGTCTGATCCAAACCTTTTCCAGCTAGCAGTCTTTTACATCCACAGGCATCTTGGAAAGCCCTCTAAGAAGCAAAGCAGGCACAGGAACCTATGTGCAGAATAAGAGATGAACATATTCTGTGAGGTGCCTTCACCTTAAAAATGTGGCCCCGAACCTTCTTTTAGTGTGACGTGAAATTTACAATTAAATTTCAGACCCTGCAGCTTGATTTAATGCACATTTTCTTGCTGGAAGGCTAATGGAGCTGCTGACTGAAGTGTTTTTAGATGTCAGCATTAATTTAGTGTGTCCCTAACAGAGTCCTAAGGTGAGTGAAGAGATGTTGCAGACTGCAGAAGAAGAGTTTGGAGGTAGGGAGGACCTTTACAAACTGCTTGCCCTTGAGCCAGGAAGCAGTCAGTCTTCCAGTGGAGAGCACTGGAAATGCTGCTGTGCCATCCTGCAGTTAAATGCAAACACACCCTGCTCCTTTTACGAGTGCTGTGCTCACTGTAAAGCCCTGAGTGAGGCTGGTGACTCAGGCAGTGCTGCTGTACAGAACTTATCATCAACTGGGTGCCTCCATATCGTAAAGCCTGGCCATTACATAAGCCTGTGCTGAACTGGGAGGATAATTAGGAGGATGGCATTAGCCTGGGCAGGGATATAGATAGATAGATAGATATTAACTTTAGCAAAGGCACATGGCGGGGTTCCCTGGTGATTTTAAGTGTTGGTGTGTAATGTGTACAGCGCAAGGGAAAGGTTTGCTGTTTTTTGGAAGGTGGATGGATCCATCCTCCCTTGTGAGTTGGTGCTGGGACCTCCCTTCCCTGCTCCTGTCCTGCTCCATCTTGTTTGCCTTAAACACTGTGCTTTCCTTGGCAGGATTATTCCATACCCAGGCAGGCTTTGTCTTCCTTCATGTCAACCTTTTCCTCCTGTTTGTACCAACACGATGCTCCCTTGCCCCTTTCTCCAGTGTTCCTCATGTTCAATCTTCCAATATTTACATCCTGCCTGACATCTGTTTCTTTGCTCAGCTGGACCGCATCTTTTGAGCTCATTCTTCAGCTCTCCTGCCCTCCACACACATTCTGGATGTGTCCCCTGAGCTGCTGTGATGTGGCAATCGCTGGCACGGGGGAAGCAATGCCACATTCCAGCTCTGCCCTCGTGGGCTGGGAGTTTGCTCCTTCCCTGCTGCAATGTGATCTCTCTGCAGGGCCCTTGGTAGGAGAATAAACACCCCACCACGTGCAGAAATCTCATGCCCAACTTGTTGCCAGCTGCCATGCCCTCGTGATCTCTGTTGCTGCTTCGCAGGTCTCCTGTCTTCCAAAATCTCAGGGTCAAGAGTGTCACTTTTTGTTTAAAATTAAGCCAACCTGCAGCTTAATACTTCTGGGCAGAAACATTATTTTTATGCTCTTGTTTCTCTCACTGTCCAGCCTGGGTTTTTTGCAGCTCCTCATCTTGTCATACATATATTTGTACACAGATATACATGTGTATATGTGTGGGTTCATGTACACACAGAGGCAAGCCTGACCAGTTGTTTTTAATCTCCTGCATTTTGGTTTTAAGGAACTTGAAGCAGAACGAGCTGCTCTCAGCCATGCACTGCTTTAGGCTCTCTGTAGTTTTTCTCCCCATCCCAGTTCTCCAGTTTAAACCAGTGTAAAGTTTGCTGCTGTGTTGTGCTGTGCTGATGGTCTGGCCTCTGTGGTCTTCACTGTTACTTGCTTCAGCTGCAAAATTTCTGAGAATGAAGTTAGAAGCAGACTAGTCAGACGGCAAATTTCATGATCATAAAGCTTCTTCATGTAGGTGGTTAACTGTAGGTGCAAGCAATACCCAGGGGCCAGGCTGGTAAGGAGCAGTTGTCTCTTTTTTATTAGACTGCCTGAAGTAGGTAGCACAGCCCCTTTTTTATCAGCTGCAATTGCTGTGCTGTTATTACAGATGAGGAGAGCCTTTGTTTTGTGCGTCCCTTCTGCTTGTTTCCTACCCTTCCTGATCAAGGTTTCCATGCAGGGCTGTTGTTGCACGGCTCTTTAATCCCAACCAACAAAGCTGGTTTGCACCGTGATCAATTCTCTGATTGATCTGATTGTGGTGGCACAGGGGAGGGGACAAAACCATCCCTGTTACAGTAATGCAGATTCACCATGGATTAAAATGGGTGTTTGGCTTTGGTTTGTGCTGCTTCTGAAAGGAGCATTGCAAATGTCCCACCTGAAACTGGTTTGGAGGCGTTAAAAGTTTCAGGGCAGGTTGGAAAAGGATGGAAATGAAGTCTGTTTCAGAAAAGTTTATTTTAGAAGCTAACTGAAGTGCATTCATTAAAAAAACCTGTTAATAAAGACATAGGTTTGAAGCACACATTCTGTTGGTATTTGGAATTAATTTTTAGTCATAATTTTTAGTAGTCCAAATCTGTGACCTGTGCAAATTTCTTTAAAATTTCAGGCATTTTTAAAGAACAAAAATGTAACAGCCTTTCCCCCTACCTCCAGAAAAAAGAAACAAGGGAAACCTCCCCTGCCACCAGACACCCTAACACCCCACAGACAAATGTGGGGGCATTCTCAATATCCAAGTGCAGAGACTTTGTACAGAGGCAAATACTGCATGTTCCAGCAGAGATTAAAAATTAATCCAGTGGATTTGATGCAGAAAACCTTTTGGTGAACTCTGTCCCTGAGTGCAATGCAGTGGGTTCTTGAGTTTTGCTTGCAGAAAAATGACATAAAGCCTCAGGAGCTAAGTGCACAGTTCAGGACACCAGGAGGTGAGAGCAGAGTTCAGGGCAGCCTGTCAGGTGTCATCAGTAAAAAAAAAGGCACTTTCCAAGCACTCATTTTGTTCCTGGGAACTAGATCCCTGTAGTGCTTGGGAATAGCTGACTGTAGTAGCTGTTGTGGTTATGTGAGTGTATCTTCTAGTTTCAAAAAAAAAAAAAGAAATTACAAAATAGAAAAAAAATTGCAAAAACAATTTCTTAAAGCATCTAAAACTTTGCAAGTGTTTTTGTACGAACTAGAATGGAAAGATCCACAAATGGTAGAAGCAGAGAAAGTCTTGCACGCACTGAGTTAAAAAACAAACTGAAGGAAAAACAAAAACAAATAAATGGAAATCTTCAGATCTCGGAATCCTTCGGTAAAGCAAGCGTTGCTGGAAGCGGGCAGGAAAACACGTGCGGCTCCCATCCCTGCCTGGTGCTCACGTGTTGGTTCTCATGCAGCCCTTGAAGGAGCAGAGCTGCCTGAACATGAACATGAGCATGAACATGAACAAGAACATGAACCATCCCCGAGCCCGCGTGGGCTCTGGCCAAGGCTCCTCTCCCTCCTCCCCAGCTCCCGCCGCGGGTTTTGCGTGCAGCAGGCTGTCGCCGCCGTGTCTCCCCTGCTTTTGAAGGGACCTACCTGAGATCACTGATGTTGATGCCTCAGGTTTGAGCTTTTGTGTTTTTCAGACTCTGTGCTGCTTCAGTGTGTGGGTCTGGGCTTCATGTTATGGGATGGTGAGCTCTCTGCACAGAGCAGGGAGACAAAACAATTCCTGCTCCAGCTGGGCACCAAGGACAAATGATCCAAATCTCAGCCCAAGAGCACAAACCCCGTGGGCTGGAGAGAGAAAAACAAGCAGGATGGGAGTGCAGGGGCTGAGCTGGAATTGGACCCTGAACTGCAAGGGGCCCATGGAGCAGAGCTGATCCCAGGGAGAGACCCCGTGAGCGCTCGTGCATTTTGGGACCATTTGGGTTCATCTTGGGTGCAGCCCTGGCTGGGCTCTTGTGCTGCCCAAGGTGGATCCATGGAGGCCTTTTCATAAATCCCTGCTTTATTCTTTAGCTCTGCCCAGCCTCTGCTCTAGGGCAGCCTTCACAAGGCATTGGCTTGAGAAGCAAAATTGTGGATTCCCTCAGAATTTAGGGAAGGGCAGAGCCTGGGGTGGGCTGCAGGGACCAGCAAGGATGTGGAGGAAGGAGTGGGGAAGGGTGCCCCACTTTCACTGCCTTCCCCAGCAAAGGAGTTGCAGAACGAGGTGCCTGGCCAGCAATTTAAAGGCAAACCAGGCAAGTTAAATGGCTGTATCTTCCACCCACTACGCAGTTCCCACTGGTGTTTAAAGAGCCTGCATGACTAAATACACCATGCAGCGTGGAAAATTCGCCCTAGAGGAACTAATAAAAGCCACAAAAAGCTGCCTGCAGAATGTTGCTGTTTTGTTGCAGCCTGCAAGATAACAATTCCTTAATTTCCAGTGCTTTCTCCTGCAGAATTCGGTATGAACGAAGCCCTGCTGTACAGGTGATTTTTTTATTAGTTGGCATAACACCCAGTCCTTCACACTAGGTAGAAACAGATCCACAAGGTGAAGTTCTTGCTAGCCCAGGGACGGTGTATGCTATGTACCTTAGATGTTTCTTAGTTTGTAGGGTGACTTTTTTCTGTCTGGAGTGCTCAGCTCTGCCTTAGCCCCCAGCCTTAGATTCACACACCGTAGCTCCAAACACAGGAGTGTCACCCTGCTGTCTGCATTTCATCTCTTTATTCCTTAACTCAGGCAGTAGGAAACACGCCATTGTTTAGACAAAGAGGGAGGTGTGTGGCTTTAATTATGCCTGGATTTCTTGAGGTGTGCACAAGCCTCTGCCTCGCGTTAATCAAAGGAGAGCAGCGCTTCACCACGTCGGATCCGTTCGGACTTGCAGGGTTCAGTTCATTTATGAACCTGACACCACAGCCTGCTGTGATGCTGGGGTTGGGCTTTTGTTCTCCTATAGAGCACACCAGACTCATGCAGCATTTCCTGTGGTGGTCAGTTTGACTCTTCCCAGGGTGACCTGGCATGTGGACAAGGGTTTTCCTGCTGCTGTACTGGGCTCCAGTGCTTGGCTTGCTGAGGAGTCCAGCAATCCTTCTCTTGAGAGTGTAGCTCCACAAGGATGAGAAACTATTCCTCCAGATGACTTTGCTTTTTCCCTTCCCCCCCCCCCCTTTTTTTCTTTTTTTTTTTTTTTTTTTTTTCCCCTTGTGTGTGGGTTTTTTTGTTCTCAAGTCATTCCCACATTACCCTACAGATTAAAGAGGGACAGCAGGTTGGACGTACCTGTGTTCTAGAGGGAAGGACTTCTCCACCTCTTCACAATTTCTGTGCTGAGCTCTTTGTCCATGGGAGATGTTCTTGCTGAAGCTGTGTGGGTTGCTTTGTTTTTTTTATGGCAAAGGGAGATTCCTTGCATGGCTGTGTAACGTGTCTGTTCTCCAGGAGGCTGAAGCTGGCAGCAGTTTTCTCCCTTTCCAGTAATGGACACATGTTACAACTAGTTTTGTGGTATCTTTAGAGAGAAACTTCTTAAAGTGTAGAGTCGGAGCCTATTAAAAAAAAAAAAAAAAAGTTTTTTTTAATTGTGCTTGTTGTTTTGAGGGAAAACTTTCTCAAAGGAGAAGCTGTGAAGATCAAAAGGGGGATGAGTCATTGAAAAACCTGAGTATTTATTAGATAAAAGGAATGTATAAGTTAGGGGGAGGGGGAATCTTATCTGACATGCAGACAAAAATCAGTGGGCTCAGTTGTCCAAAAAGACTCGACTTTTCTTGAAATTACCACTTGGCATAATAGACATTTTTGTCCAGTGGGAAATAAATAAGACAAAGGAAATTCCTGGCCTATCTGTTTGCTCGATGATTGGTATGCCTTTGAGAGCAAATGAATGCATATTTGCTTGACACTTCAAATTAAAGTGGAGGTGTGTCCTTTTTCTAAACTTGCTGTCACTTGTTGTGCTCATTTCAGCTGTGCTCCCTGCACTTGCTGTATCTCCTGGCTGCCAAAAAGAGTTCCCAGTGTGGGTTTTTGGTGTGTGTCTGTGTGTTGCCATTTGGGTTTTTGTAGCACTTGGTGGCTCTGCTGTTGGGCTTGGTCCTCGTGGACATGGTCAGTGTAACAGGGATACCTGAAAGGGCGATTCTCCAGAGTTCATTGGAGAGCCAGGGCGTTTAAACACCTCAGACACTGTGAGGTTATGTAGGGAAAGGGGGTGGCAAGGCCAATAATTACATTAAAGTAGTTTGCAGTAGCTAAATTCGACTGGTTTAAATTATAATAAATTGTCTTGACTGTTTGTTGTGTTTGCTATGTAATGGGCTGGCATGCTGCTGCTTGCAAAAACTGCTTGCCTTTATTTTTTTTTTTCTTCTTCTTCTTTTAGCTTCACCATAAAGAAAAAACTACCATAGCATTATGATTCCAGAGATGTTTTATTGGCTTAATATTCTGCACAGCACTTCAGTGTATTTGTTGGGTGATCCTGTTGCATCTGTTGTTCTTTGCAGGAAATATTTTGTGAACACCTTGAAAGTCTGATGGTACCATGCACTTTTCTCACCTTCTTCTTCATTTTTTTTAAATTTTTTTTCAGATTTCTGACTTTGGGCTTGCAAAGTGCAATGGCTTGTCCCATTCCCATGACATCAGCATGGATGGTTTGTGTGGCACGATTGCCTATCTTCCTCCAGAGCGCATCAAGGAGAAGAACAGGTGTTTTGACACCAAACATGATGTGTACAGGTCAGTGAACTATGAAAACACCTAAATGCTATTTTAGTAACCCTGTAAAATGAGACCTTTCAAACTTTTTTTTAAGCATGAAACCCCTAAATCCAACTTGAGCCTCGCCTTGAAATGTGTCACATTTGCTTTGGGTTTTGCAAAGTCTTTGTGGGGTTCAGGCCTTTTAAAACCTGCAGGTGATCCTGGGTCTTGAAATTATTTGTTGGCAGCTGGCAGTGGGAGGCACTCTGCCCACCTTTAATTTCCCTTCTAAAGGTACAACCTGACCTACTTTTTGAGTGTGTGATAAAATTCTGAGTTATCTTCAGTGGATTTCATCACTGTGTCTTTGGCTCTTCTTTCATGGCAAGATTATTAGGAAAAGGAAATCACAGCTTTAGATTAAAAAGATATCTCTTATTCTAAATTAAATTCATTTATTTAAAGTCATCTTGCAGGGAAGAAGCATTAAATTAAACCCACTGCAATGCTTTCTCTGATTTTGTCAGAGTGGATATGGAGTAGTTGGTAAATGCTACCAAGGACTTCGCAGCTTCCAGCAAGTCCCTGTGTTTGCTGCCTCAGGTTCCTCCCTGCCAAAGCTAGACTTTGAAATCATGGTTCTCAGCTGCTTTCCTCTGTGTGTTCATCACCCGAATTAGGTGCAAAAGTGGTGGGATAAGGAAAAAAAATTACACTTCTGTGAGTTTTTTTCGGTTAAAAAAATTTCTAGTATTTTTTTTTACCTTTTTATATTTTTTTTTGTCAGCTTTGCCATCGTGGTTTGGGGAGTTCTTACACAGAAGAAGCCTTTTGCAGGTAAGTTGTGTGTTATCTTGGATTTTTTTTTTCCTTTTTCCCATTGATAAGCACACTTCTTGCCCCACCAGCCCCAGAGTTTTGTGTATGACCTCCAAATTCTGACAGTCTTGTGTGGTGGACACTTTTCAGCTCTCAAATTCTGATCACTAAAGCTAAAGTTCTCCTTTGTCCTACATCATGAAAACAGAACCTGTATTGCTGCAGGGGCCCTTGTCTGCACATTTCTGCTTCTGCTGGGGTTTGCTGCACAGCTTCAGATCAGTGTGTGGCAAAGCCAACTTGGCAGGCAGCTCTGCTGTTGTTCAGGAGCAGCTCCTCTGCAGAGAGGTTCTGTAGTTTATTTGTAGATTGTGGGTACAGATTTGTTCCTTCAAAAAGAAAAAAAGAAAAGCTGTCTGTGAGAATGAGCCCTGTTCCACCCTGCAGTAAATGCACCTCAACAGGCAGCTGTTTATTCTTTATGACTTTCCTGTGTCTGTGACTGGCCTATGTATAGCAAACATGTCCCAACAAGTTCCAGTCTACTATTAGTTTTTCTCCCAGTGAGGAATTCCGTTCAGCCCAGTGATTGATTTACAGTCAGGAGCTGCCTTACTGCACCTCTTGACTTGTGTTCTTCCTTCACCTTTATGAATAGTTCAGGTACCTGGTCTAAATAAAACCTAAGGTTCTGTTTTCCTACAGCAGATATGGAAATCCAAAATGAAGTAGCAAAGAACTGTTTGAGGGTTTTTTATTTTTTTCTTTTTGTTCTTTATCTTTAATGGGTGGAAAAAGAACACAGTCACTTGCTGACAATTGGTTTTTTTAAATGATATATGAGAAGCAGGTGTTACTGCATTAAAAGATGTCTTGTTGGAGAAGACAACCATCAATTTTTTGCCCTGTTGATAAGAAATCCAGAAAAAAAAGTGTGAAAACAAATTTTCAGCCTAATGCACTCTTAATGCTCTTGGGAAAAGGAGAAGTGATTCCTTTTGCTGGGACGTCTAAATCTGTGTGCCTTTGCTTTGCAGAGGAAAACAACATTTTACATATTATGGTAAAAGTAGTTAAAGGCCACCGCCCAGAGCTACCTGCTGTTTCCAAATCCAGACCTCATTCATGTAATAACTTGATCAAACTGATGCAAAAATGTTGGCAAGATGATCCTGGTGAACGGCCAACATTTCAAGGTAAGATTTCCTCTTAACTTGGCTGCCCATTTATTCTTCTATGAGTCACATTATTGCTCAGGACTCTGCTAATCCCTGGGGTAAACGCTGAGGAGCTCTGTGACAGAGTAAATAGAGCACATTGTGTGGTGGAGACAATGATACAGGCCACTTACTCATTTGTGGAGGAAGGGATTATCTGAGGACATGTCTGACCATGGTGGTGTTATGTAAACACGACAGGAATAAGCCTTGTACTGAGCCAGTTGGTCCGTTTAGCCAGAAATTATGTTTATTTCTGATAGTGAGTGTCAGGACATAAGCCAAGCTGGAGTTGATGTGGTTTGCAGTGTACCAAAGCGTTGAAGGGACTGGCTCTTGAAATTTGTAGTGTTGTACGTTGAGAAACTGAATTGTTTTCTTGTATTGAAACAGTTTGTACAGTCACTTCTCTGCCAGTAAAAGGTTGAACTTGTCCAGAGCACCTGTTATGAATTCAAGTGTGCAGAGGGATGTAGCTTCATTTACAAGAATGGGAGAGCTGTCTTCCTGGAGGACTGAAGGGATGAGGGATTCCATCTTTCAAAAAACATATCTAAATCTGCCAGCAGTACAGTCCTGCTGTGTGGCCCCTGTGTTAACAGCAGTCTGGTGTGACTGAAAATTAATTGTTTGGGCAGCCCTGTGTCCCCTTGGCTTGGCTGCACACTTGTGCCCACTGAGGAGGTGCTGGATGGAATGGTCAGCACTGGAGTCCTTCTCCCTCAGTATCTCAGAGATTTTAAGTTCAATTCATAGAGGAAGGCTGCAGGGTATCTCAGAGACTCTCCTTCTGAAAATCCCAAGCACTAAAAGCTTCTTTGTTTTCTTTAAAGAAATCACTTCAGAAACAGAGGCCCTTTGTGAAAAACCAGAAGATGAAACAAAAGAGATGATAACTCAGGACCTGGACACCAAGAATGCCCCAGAGCAGCAGCCTGAGGTATTTTCTCTTTCACTTCTTGTTCAAACTTGCAGGGTTTTGGGAGGAACAGGATCCTTTATGACCTGGAAAGTTCCAAACAACCTTCTCTTTGCTGCTTTTGAGCACCACCTTGCCTGACAGAAGTGGGTCTTGGTGCACAGCTTCTTTTCTTGGTGCACACATCTTTGCACTGGGGTGCACAAATGACAGCAGGGGCGCGGACAAGCTCAGGAAAACCTCAGGGCAGAACCAAATGCAAGTGCATCTTATTCTCTGCAGGGATAGCAGGACAGTTAGGAAATAAAGGCTGGAACTGTGTGGGTGTGACTGATCTTAAAAACCATCATAGACAGAAGAGCCACGTGGCTTTAGTAACTGATGGAAACTGCCCTCCTGCTTCTGAAAAAAATCAGTGACTTTATTCATAGGTTTCATTTAATGCAAACAGTGTTTGAAGGCTACCTGCAAACTAACAAATTTATGTTTCTTCTGTAGGGCCTCGTGCTCAGTTTTGTTTGCTGACCTTTCTAAAATGCTTATGTGCTCTCTTGAAGGGGATTTGTGCTCTATCCCAGAAGAAACAGGAGCCTGCTCTACCATCAGTTAAGGATTACAGTCTCTCAGAGTTGTTGTCCCAGTTGGATTCAGGGATTTCACAGACTATGGAAGGCCCTGAGGATCTCAGCCGCAGCTCTTCTGAGTCCAAACTTGCCTCCAGTGACAAGAGGCTTTCAGGAGTTTCATCTGTAGATTCAGCTTTTTCATCCAGAGGATCCCTTTCCCTTTCCTTTGAACGGGAGAGTTCAGGTAATGGTCAAGTTTTCCTTTGTAGTTGTTTGGATTGGGCATGGGAGTCAATGGGTTGGAGAGTAGAATAACATTCTGGAAATTACTGTTAGCCTTGCTTTCTCTTGCTGTCAGCACTACAAATTTGTTTACTGGAGGTAGTTATTTAAAAGGAAAAAATAAAAACAAAACAAAAAAAAAAATATGTGGTTCCCAAACATGATCTAATGAGAAATAATAAATCTCATTTACTTTTGTAGAGGAGTAAACTACCATTAAAGCAATTACAGAATCAGTCATGTAGAGGTTGGTTGGAAGGGAGGTCACTACTAGTCCAGTATCCCACTTGACGTGGGATTAAAGCCACTGCCCAGTCAGGTCAGCTGAGTTTGTGGCTTTTTCATTTATACCAAGCCTAAACCTCAGGACTGTAGTTTTTGAGAGGACTCAAGCCACCTTCTTAGTAACCCCTGGGGCCATTGTGATAAAGACCCCTCATTTTTCATTCCAGTGCTGCAAACCCCAGACAACTGTTTTCCAGTTAGGTAAACAATGGTTAGTGCAAAGAGATCAACCACAACATCCTTTGGTCTTCATGCCACAACAGAGAGTGTTAGTGGGGGCCCAAATCTGGCCTGAAAATGTTTAGGGACTTCTGTGGAGCAAGGGGAGGTGAATTGCTGTGCAGGAAGCTCATTACTGAAACCATGGGCAGATAGGGTTTGATGGGTATCAGAATTGTGATGCTAGAATCTTAGAACAGTTTAGGTTGGAATGGACCTTTAATGAGCAGGGACATCTTCAACTAGATCAAGCTGAATGTTTTCAGGGACGTGGCATCCACCACCTCTCTGGGCTCTGGGAAACGTGGGCCAGTGTTTCACCACCATGGTAAAAACAGTAATCATGGTAAAACGTTTTTCATGGTAAAAATTTTCTTCCTTGTATCCATTTAGATATTGGTACTACAGACATACAGAAGAGGAAGCTAACGGAGGCGATTTTATCCGGAGATACCAGCAAGCTGATGAAGATCCTCCAGCCTCAAGATGTTGATATTGTTTTAGATGGGAACTCCAGCCTTCTGCACTTGGCTGTTGAAGCAGGTCAAGAAGAATGTGTCAAATGGCTCCTGCTGTACAACGCTAACCCTAACCTCACCAACAAGAAAGGCTCCACCCCTCTTCACATAGCCATCGAGAAGAAATTTAAAAGCATCGTGGAACTGATTATGGCCAGGAAAATCAACGTCAACGCCAAAGATGAGGACCAGTGGACCGCTCTTCACTTTGCTGCCCAGAACGGGGATGATTTCAGCACCAAAATGCTGCTTGACAAGAACGCGTCCTTAAACGAGGTGGATTTTGAGGGCAGAGCCCCCATCCACATAGCCTGCCAGTATGGCCAGGAGAACATCGTGCGCATCCTGCTGAGAAGAGGCGTCAACGTGAACGTCAAGGGCAAGGACGACTGGGTGCCCCTTCACTACGCCGCCTGGCAGGGCCACCTCCCCATCGTGAAGCTGCTGGCCAAGCAGCGCGGCGCCGACGTCAACGTGCAGACCGTGGACGGCAGGACCTCGCTCCACCTGGCCGCCCAGCGCGGTCACTACCGCGTCGCCCGCCTCCTCATCGACCTGGAGTCGGACGTCAACGTCCGGAATGGGCTCCTGCAGACTGCTCTCCACATCGCCGCCGAAACCGGCCACACCAGCACCTCCAGGCTGCTCCTCAAGCACGGGGCGGACATCGAGGCCGCCACGGCAGAAGGATACACGGCCCTGCACTTGGCATCGCGCAGCGGCCACTTAGCCACAACAAAGCTGCTGATGGATGAAAGGGCCAGCGTTCTAGCCAGAGGCCCTTTAAATAGGACAGCGCTGCACCTTGCTGCGGAAAACGGGCACTCTGAAGTAGTAGAAGAACTTGTCAGTGCAGAAAATATCGATATTTCTGACAGCGAGGGGTTCACAGCTCTCCACCTGGCTGCGCGAGGGGGGCACGCGAAGGCGGTGGAGGTTCTCCTGAAGCACGGGGCCCACACTGACATGCCGAGACCCAAGTGTCAGACCCCGCTGCCCCCTGCTCAGCACAGCAGGAATAGCTCACTGACGGTGTTGTTAAGTGACACTTAAGCAAAAGGTGCCCAGTGGTGCTTTTTTACCTGGTGTGAGGAGGCTGCTGGCGCTCAGGGCCTTCTCCAGCCGCGCAGGGACGCGCTCAACGGCGGTGGCAGCCGATGGACTGAGGTGTTTGAGTGTGACTGAGGCCAGGTGCAAGGCCAAGAGCTGGAGTCTGCTGTGGTCTTTGTCACTCATTCCATGCCTGCCCACCCTGCCTGGATCTGGACATTCCCCTCCCCAAGGATGTTGTGAGAGAAGGATGCAACTTGTGTGTTCTCCCTGCTTTTTTTTTTTTTTTCCTTATGTGCCAAACTAATTTAAGAACTAACATTATGCTTTTTTTTTATTTTCATCAAACAGAAAGAAAAAAAAAAAGATGGCATAGATCTGTGGTTCATTGCAGCAAATTGATATTTTGGGCTGAAAGCCTCCAATGTAGAATAAGCACAGCAGCAGTCTGCTTGAAATTAATGCAGGAGTTGAGGAAAGGGCTGTTTAAGGTACAGTTAATCACGTTTCTGCTAAGTTTTTTAATGGAGACATTGATTACAGATTTCCACATACTCAAAGTTTATGAGGCAGACTTAATAACAAGGCAGGATTCCAAAAAAAATTAAGCAGAAGTAAAAGCTTAATACTGCTGTCTTCATGTACAGTACTACCTTGTGTGTATCCTGAGATCAGTAAACTGGACTAGGTGCTTAGTGGTTTGACTTAAATGAGCAAGTCAGGAGCTGAAATTCATACTGGACTGGAAGTGGATGGTCTGTTCTAACACCATTGTACCAATTTGTAAAACACTGTTTGGAGGGGCTGATGACTAGAACTGATATACTGTGTATATAGGATTTCTACCTGTTGTACGCTTTTTTTCTACTGAAGAAAATAGATTGCTTAGAGTGGGTATGTTTTAATACACCTTTTAATTTCACTCTTTTCAAAGTACAAACGTGGCCTGTTATGAATAAAAGATTGTGTTCCACAACTTGTCTGTATTTTGGAGTCGATAAAGCAACTGAAAACCCATTGACCAACAACAGCAGAACACAACTAATCATGTGTTTAGTGATCATAGAATGGGTTAGAAGGGACCATAACAACCCCCTGATCTGAGCAGAGACACCTTCCACTAGATCAGGCTGCTCAGAGCTCCATCCAACCTTGTCTTGAATGATGCTGAAGCCCAAACTGTTGACATGTAAGGCTGCCCTCAGTTCTACATTCCCCTCAGCTTTAAAGAAATTCAGAAGCAATTCAGGAATGGGAGATGTTTGTTATTTGTAGCACAAAGCTGTACAATAAAGCCTCACATAACCTAATCGTTATGCATGTAACACATTGATGTACAACTGGGATGGTTTCCTCTTATGCTGTAGCTGTTAGTGGAGAATGAAATGGTATTAAAAAGTAGATGGTGAAGCCACACTCATGCCACTACATGGAGGTCACAAAGCAATGCCACTTTTAGCAGAGCATGGCAGTCCCAGCAAGCTCCTGAAAGTGCTGACAATGAAACTTCTCATTCAACAAACAAAACTATAATTTTACTGCTTCCTTCCACTTCTTTGGAGACCAGTAAGGTGGCCATGTTTCAATATAGCAGATTCAACCACAGACCACTTGGTCTCTCAAGCTTAAACACTTGGCTTAGCCTAGCACACACCATTCCCTTCGATTTCACAGTCTCCTGAACAGGGAGATTAAAGATACTTAAATTCCAGTCCTTGCCTGAAGTGCAAAAGAGCTGTAAGACCAGGTAACAGCAGTCTTGCACCTCCTAATAAAGGCAGTTCACACCAGCAAGGCAAGGGGAAAGTACACTTATAAAATGCTTTTAAAACAGCTCAAACACTGCTTCGCCAGTGCATTCCTTCAGTGCCTAATAATAATAGTACATTAGCTTCTAATTAAACATGAGGCCACACTCATGAGTCTTTATTTCCATGCTGTCTTTCACAATAACAGGCACCAGCTATGCATTACAGGGAAGGCAACACAGCTGGCACTAGACAAAAAAAACCCAAAGGATTGCAATGACATGCTGCCAGTATTGGAGGGTATTTTTCCCTGTGAACCAGACTTCCTTGGGGGCAGGAGGGGTGAGTGGGGGTGCTAAACTGGCACTAATGCAACAATTAGGAATTACTGTTTTGTAAAGGTCTCCTGTGGGTGACTTTTCTAGCTGTATGTGCTGAAGTCTCTGGTTGTTGACCTAAAGCTTACAGGCATTTCTTTGTCTCTTTCCAATCTCAGGTGCGTTCTTTAAAAAAAACCCTGTAGGCTTGGGAGGTGGGTTTGAGGTGGTGTGTGACACGAAGGGCTCCATGGAGCTGAGCCTGCTCCAGGTCCCCCAACTGCTCCCTTGCAGGTGAGAAGGCTGAGAGATGAACATCAACTCTTCCTGCTCGCCTCCAAGATCAGGCAGAGGTTGCTTGCAGGGTTTCTGCAGACACTGCTCATCCACTTCCTTTGGCCCCGGGTGGCTATTTCATCCCAGGGAGAAACATAAGAAAAAAACGATACAGTGAAGTGATGTTCATGACCATAACCTTCACCTTTCCGTCTCTAGATGTGGTTTTTCTGCCTGCACGGCTCCGGTGGCACAGTCTGGGTTCCTGCCAGCACCCGCTGGTGCCGTGCAGGAGCCCCAGCACGGGGAAGGTGCCTCACACCATCCCCATTCCTGACTCCTCCATCCCAGCCCCGGGGCAGCCACAGCCCCTGCTGCATTACCTGTCTTTGCAGCAGTTTGTTCCCAGCACCAGGCAGCTTTATTTACCCGCTGCTGTGTTTGTACAGGCCTCGAGAGGACTCGACAAGCCTGCGGTTCAAACACGCTGCTGCTGCTGCTGGAGGTGGTGGAGAGGGGAGAGAATTGCTGGCTGATTGCAAAGAGGCCCCGAGGCAAACCTCAGCCCTTTCATTCCTGCCTCCTCTCCTCTCCTCTCTTGCACCACCTGATCTCCACTCAGCATCAGGCTTGCAAGAAAAACAAGGCATGTGGGAGCTGCTCTGCAAGGCCTCCCTTAGCAGAGAGCTCTGGAGGAGGGGATATCTCCTCTCCCCCACACTCCTTTAACCCCAGCTGGCTGGCATGGGGTGCAAACCAGCTCATGGGTGTCTCCAAAAATCCCAGGCAAGGCCTCCAGGTGCTGAAGTGCTCATGGGGTGCAAAGCTGTGTTACCTCCCTGGCTGTCTCTGGGCTCAGCTGTTGATCAGATCCCATTGTTCCTGTGTTTTGGGGAGGGAGGAACCAGCCTTTCCCCTTCCTTGACTTTTGATGTGTTTCTTTGGAAGAGACCCACACAAGCATGGAAGACAGAGCAATGGGTTCTTCAGACACCAGTCCTGGGGCCAGGGGGTTGAGGGAAGATGCCCAGCTGCACTTTGCCTGTCCTGTTCTTTGGCCAAAACCACCTGAAAGCACACCCAGGTCTCTGTAACAGCTTTGGCCACACCACTTTGGTATTGGAGAGGGATGGATCATTCACAGCACTGCTCCACTGCCTCCCCTCTCCCTCTTCTGGGACGTTCTTTCATCCAGGGCTGTGATAAAACACCAAACCCAGGAATCACAGAACCGTTCAGGTCGGAAAAGACCTCCAAGACCATCGAGTCCAACCACTTACCAGCACTGCCATGTCCACTACTACTGCCACCTGAGCCAGGGAGAGACTCACACCCCAAAGGGAGCGCTGATTAAGCAGGGCAGGGTGAGAGCACAGGAAACCCTTTCCAGGGGAGGTGGCACAGGCAGATCCCAACACGTCCAACTGAGCGTCAGGGGCTGTCGGCAGCGAGACGCGGGGCCGGGAGGGCAGTGAGCTGTGATGGAGAGGAGGGTGGGGAAGCTGTGCCCTGGGGACACCCTGCAGAGGCTGGCACGACACCCAGCTGGGCTGGAAAACTCTCACTGCTGCACCAGAGAAGTCCTGAGCTTAAAGAGAAACACTCAGCAGGCACTTGAGGAAGAATGGGATTTAAAATCCCGTTCTTTACCTGGTGTTTTTTGAAATGCTGTGGGAGAGGCTTTCAGGCTTTGCTGTGCAGTGATGTAGAGCTAAGACCATTTAATAGCTAATAAAGAGCAACTTGTGATCTGCACAAAAACACCTCGTGTGAGAGACTCGAGTAGAAACATGCAGGAGTGTAAGGCAAACACTACAGCTGTGGCAATGAGAAGGGGGAAGATGTTCTGCACTCTCCCCTGGAAGAGCAGGCAGGAGCCCGTTTGCTCTGCCCCAGAGGCACAGAGTAACCCTTGACCGTGACAGGAGCAAGGGCCGTGGGCCAACTCAGAACATGCACAAGGAGAGAAATCTGCCTGACGAGTCTCCCCCACCCCAGTCTCCGCTGCCTGATCAGATGAGAGGAAATAAATCCTGGCAGAGCCAGTTTTCACAGGAGTTCATGCCCTGACCCTGCCTCAACAGGGACCGGGTCCAATACGTTTCCCTTTTATCTATTTAAATAGGATTGCTTGTCTTAGTCCACTAACAGGCAAAACATGCCAAGTCCTGTGCTGAATTACTGATGTCTGCTGTGTTTTAAAACCCCCAGTGAGTCTGGCTTTGCCCCAGCGCTGCCTTGCTTTTGCAAAGATGCTTAGCTAGGGGCATTGTAGGAGGTTTAGCAGGGCACAATTATAACTGACATTGGAAACTTCTATCACAGTAGCTCCGTCCAAAAGCACACGTGCAGTGGGGTTTAGGCATTTGCAAAATCAAAGTCTAGACATTTGTGGTGAATATAAAGGCTGACTTCAGCCTAACCTCTGGCAGTCTCTACAGCTCACAAAACACTACATCTTCCTTTTAAAAAAGGTAAGATTTAAAATCTATTCAGCAGACCAGGCCATCCCAACTTGAAGAAGATACTAGATGCCCTGAGATTAACTCAGCCTGACCACTGACTTTCCAAAGCAGAAAAGCCTTTATTCCCCAGGTCTCAACATAAATTCACATTCTGATGGTTATTTATTAAAGAAAGGTGTTACTGCTCCATTGTGCACCAAGCCAAACTGCTGTCAGGATCATCTCTGTTCTCCCCTTATCCTCTGGGCTCCTGACACATTTCCCACTGCACCAATTCCCAGGGAAGAATTTTGCTTTAGTGCAGCAAACCAGGGCAGCCAGTGCAGATGCAGACAAGTTCTGGTCACAGGTACAACCCACAGTCTGCACCTCCTTCCCTTTCAC